ACCCTAAATCCACTCATATCCCTCAACTTCTAAATACATAGTTCATTTTCTGTAACGTGGTCGTTACAGTAAATCCACTCATATCCCTCAACTTCTAAACATATAGCTGGATCAATCTCAAATCACGTCTCATTACGAAAGGGGTAATACCGTAAATCCACTCATATTCCTCAAGTTCTAAATACATAGTTCATTTTCTGTAACGTGGTCGTTGCGGTAAATCCACTCATATCCCTCAACTTTGAAAGATGCTCAGTAGATGCTGAAGATGATAATGGATTTGATACGCGAGGTGTGTAATAGCGTAATGGCTTAGGAAAGATATGGATACGGGCTGTAACAGGATTATGACATCACTCACATCGGATGGCTCAACTCTGTATGAAAATAAGGTGTGTGTATAATCTAAAGACGTATATGTGTCTTCACCAATCGGCAGCTAGGTTAAACTATATTGTTTCAGCGGACGAATCGTGTTGTTTTTTTAGTGTTCGTTATGAATAAAAAAATTTTAAGACAAAAAGAAAAAAAAACGGCATTAATTATCGTCTAACTTGTCTATATGAATTTTATTCTCATCGATGGCAATGAGAACAACAAGATATTATATATATATATATATATAAAGAGACACAAAAGGAAAAAATAGTCCAGTTGAAGTGAATAGATTTATGGTTAAAGATGAGCATTGTAACTAACAACAATATTACTATACTCGATTTACCAGATGAGATGTTACGTGCCGTTTTCAATAAGTTGCATATGATTGATGTATTTTATTCATTGGTCGGTGTGCATCAGCGATTTGATCGTTTAGCACTCGATTCTCTCTACATTCATCATCTCGATTTTGTGATGAAACCATTGTTTGATCGTAACTCGCCGGTAGATAATCAACTTCTTGATAGAATTTATACCAAAATTTTACCTCGAATTCATCATAAAGTCAATAAACTCACTCTGGAACCACTTTCTATAGAATGTGTTCTTAATACTGTTCATTATCCTCAACTTCATTCCATATCATTTGTCAATTTTCATTACGAAACACTTTTACGACATTTACAAGGTATAATTATAATTTTATGTAATATGAATGAGTGATTTTTTTACATTTAAGGTGATACTATAGTTCGTCTTCTTACTGACCAAATAACACATCTTGATATTTATATTTGTGAAAAGACAACAGAAATGTCTGAGAAAAATGAATTAAGCATATTAGTATTCATACTATCTATGGGTAAACACCTAAATGATTTGATCTATAATCAATGGTTATCAGAGTCAGCTATAAGGATTTTGCCCCTTAATCTACTATCAAAAAGTTTAAAATCGTCATCTTTAACTAAATTAAGAATTGAGGTAAATGCTTTTGATGAATGTCTTTATCTTCTTGATGGACGTCTTGAATGTTTGTCTACATTGATTATATATATATGTGAAATTACCAATTCTTCATCAAATACAAATAATACAGTAAATATAAATGCAATCTTTCTATATTAATAAATCTGTTTTTGTAATCTTATGATGGTTTCGTTATTTATAGAAAACACTTCCAAAATTGAAATGTTTCTCACTGGCATCGAATTGGTATACATATTGTTATGACAATGAGATTGTTTCATTACTTCGTCGAATGTTAAATCTTGAAGAATTAACATTATTTCTTTCGGTAATAAGAACTGAGTCAACTTATATTAATGGAAAACAATTAAACGATGAAGTTCTTATTCATATACCCCGATTAAATAAATTTACTTTCAATATACATACTCATGTTATCAACAATAACATTAAAATTGATCTTCCATCGAATGATGACATTCGAAATAGTTTCATCAAAATAGGTTATCAACAAGTTGATTCATTTGCTGATGATAAACTCGTGAATAATAGAGGCAACTGTCATGTCTATTCATTACCATACCAATTCAGAAATTTTATGTTTATGAACAGCGCTTTTCAAGGTGGTGGATTCGATAAAGTTCGATGTTTGATAATGTTTGATAGACGTCCATTTGAATATGAATTATTTAAAATCATCTCTCGAGATTTTCCTTTTCTTGAAAACTTAACATTGCGTAACAGTGAACCACAACAAAATAAACAACAACAATCGTCTATATTTATTACATTTGTTCATCTGGTCGAACTCGATCTTCATTCGATACATATTGATTATGTCGTACAATTTCTCTCTGATAGAAATATTCTTCTACCTCGTTTAAAGAATCTCTACATTGATTATGAACCATTAATAACGGTGACCAACCATTTTACCAATGATGCAACACGTCCCAATTGTGCTAAAATAGAACAACTTTTTATTAAGGAGCCATTTGTTCGGCCGGAAAATTTTCAATCGTATTTTCCTTTGTTATAAATATTAGTTTTGTAAAAATTGTGGTAGTGTTAAATAATCTCGAATGAAAAGTGTGGAATAAAATAATTTCAAAAACTAAAATCTCAAGTACTAAATAGTGACTATTATCAGAGACGAAATGAATTCACAAAATTTTATTAAGAATCAAATATATACCGAAATAGATATTGATTGATAAGAAAGAAAAAAAACAAGAGCTTTGTTTTCTGCTTGCTACGAAGAATGAAAGTCCTTGGAAGTATCGTTTTCAGTCAATCTCATCATTCTCGAATCGAGCACTTAGCCTATTGCAATGAACTTGAATAGCTGAAACTGTGATGCTCTCCTTCTTCTGGTCATTATCAGCAAGTTTTAAGAACAGTTGTAGAAATATAACCTTATCACCGCTGTCAATAAACATCCACACATTCGAATAAGATCTTAAGAGAGAGGATCCAGGATTTTGCCATAGAGGTGTCATATAGTCAAATTTGAATTTTGTTATATCCATTAGATAGGCCATGTCAAGAAATTTCTGCAGCCAGGTTTTTACATGAAGCAAAAAAATTTTCATTAAGATATGAGATTTTCAAAACAATAGCTTTTTCTTGTTTTCCCAAAATGAAGGCATATTTTCTTTCGGTTTTTTTCTTGCGCCATTTTGAATTCAATTGTTTTCGAGTAAGGTCTTATTTGAAAGAGACAAGAAAACTGAATAAGACAGGTTTCTTTTCACGTCGTCGGAAAAATCGTATTTTCTAGAGATCAAAAAATTTCAAAGTTGAAAGACTTAAAATTCAAAACCTGATTTCTAGGATTTTTGGTAAAAACTGAGATGCTACAGTTTTTGCACCGCAAATTTTAGAACCCTATCTTGCAAAGATGCGTTTGCTTACTAGATGCACTATAGATTGGATTTTTCAAAGACCTGGAATATGCTCAAAGCTGCAAATTATGGACAATGAATACAACGTACTTATAATGGTGCCCGTATTTCGATGATTTCGACACCAAAAACACATTTCCAAGCAAAACGAATATCATATTGGGAATCAGTATCACAAAATGAGTTGAATGTCATATGATTGATTACAAACAATTTCTCGTCAGAATTCTACTTGAAGGGGACCATAGCCGAAATTGAGTCAGATAGAGATCTAGAGGGGACACAGGCAGTAAGCAACAGTCATGAGCAAAAAAGTGTTTTAGTATTTTTGATAAAACGTTTTTGAGGAAAGAGTCTTTTTAAGAACAGGTCAATATGCGTTTTGTAACGCGCTTAAGGCGATCTCATATTGGATATTAATCAAATCTTTTGCGTGTACTGCGACCGAGAAAAAGAATTATCGCTTGGCTGTCCAGTGTGGGAGAGGGGGAGGGAGAAGTAGAGAAAAAATTCTGATGAAAAATTGTCTGTAAAGAATTATATTTTGTTGGGGCTCAGTTTGTGATGCTGATTCTGAAGATGGCATTCGTTTTGCTTGAAAATATGTTTTTGGTGTCTCAATCGTCGAAATACAAGCAGATTGTAGTCGTCATTCCCAGTAATTTGCATTTTTGAGCATACTGCAGGCCTTTGAAAAATAGAATCTATAGTGCATCTGGTAGAGACAAAAAATCTTTGCAAGATAGACTTCTAAAATTTGTGATACAAAAAAATTAACACGGTATTTTTGTCAAGAAAAGCGTAAAAATCAGCTGTTCTATTGTGAGTTTTTGAATTTTCTAAATTGCTAAATGCAACAATTGAAACATGAAAAGTACTCCATCTTGTTCAGTTTTCTTTTCTTTTTCAAATGAAACGTTGTTCAAGAAAGTCGATCCCACATTGACTGAGAAAAAGGCAAAAATCCGATTTACCTTGTTTTTCATTAGAAAAATGAAAACAATCCTTCTTCTAAGAACCACAGATCTCGATGAAAATTTATTTGTTTGACCTGAAATTCTAGCTACAGAGGTTTCTCAATATGAACTATCGAATGTACATACTTAGATTCAGATTTGAAATTTGACCGTGTGACATGAATATTCGATGAATTTGTGAACTTTCTCTTAAGATTTTAATATATGTATACAACAAAGTATAAGAAGAGAACGATATTATACTATTATTTAAAGTAAGTTGAAAGAGTAAACACATTATGTAATATCTGTTATTATGCTTTAGTTCATTTTTTTTCGGCGCTTTTTCAGCATTACAGCATCTTGTAATAAATTTGGATGCTCAGATGGCACAGTTCTCCTATTGATTTATCATGACTTTATTCTACTTTTTCGACCAAAAGAAAAACTCAGGACGAAATTTAGTGACTTAAACGTTTCTTTACTTTATCAAAGGAAACAAAATAAATTTGCTATGTAACATTTGATGACATCTTTCAATAATTGGAATAGGAAAGAAACTTAATAGATTTCCTGACTTAATCGATTAGTTTTTAAGGTGTAGTTAATCTATTTTTTATTTATGGATATTTCCATGGGTATTCAACCATAAAAACACAAAGATCTCAGAAAATGTTTTGATGTATCACAGTTTGTAGAGCTTTTTTCGCTGATCATTTTGGTAAAAAAAAATTTATACTTTCGTCAACAAATGACGGTGATTGGGTCGAAATTGTTATTATTTGAAAATAGACAGGAAATAAAAGTGGTGCAGCTAATAAATAAATAAAAACAAAAAGAAAATAAATTATTTATATATATTTATATCAATAAAGAAATATAAATATTGAAGATCATGTGATAAATTTTTTTCATATTTAGCATCTTTTTCAGCTGCCTTGAAAAAACGAAATATTTTGAATTACTCTTATTGGAAGTTTATCACCAAGTACAAATATTGATTCAACACGTGCATCAGGATTTTATCGATAACATTTGGTTTAGAATGATAATGAAAATGCATATGATTCCACCAATCAGTGCTTGCTCCCTAAAAGAATTTAATTTATTATTTTTCTCTTCCAAACACAAAATAAGACAAACTTTTGTTAAACCAATATAAAATTGATGCAATAAATGTTTCCATGAACTTTTTTAAATACTGATAAATGTCCAAAAGTCATGTTGAACCCAACACGTTGTACTTTGACATAAATACAAAATATTTAGAAAAAAAAGAAATAAAAAATTGAAATACGTATTTCAGCAATAACATAAAGAAGCATAGTGATTAAATAGGGTAACCGACTTGTACCAAATTGAAATAAAACAAAATAAGCAGCAAATTCAGAAGCTAATATATGTAAACACGTATGCACGAAAAAAGACGACTTGATTGAAAGAGTTTCTATGAACGATAAAAAAAATAAATAAATATTTATCTTAAATATAAATGAGAAAAAATAATTTTACTTTAGAAATAGCCTTTTGTCGTAATTGTTCAAAGCCATTTTTTAAAACTTGACCATAGTCAATATTATCTTTTTCATCTTCAATTACATCACCGATAATAAAATGATTTGAGATATTTTTGAACATGAGATATGTCATCATGAAGTGCATGAAATGCTTCCTGAAAGAAAAGAAATAGAATTGATTTCTTATTATTCTTATTCTTGTACTAGCATCCTGTCTAGCATAGTGATTCAGAAAGATTTGTGCACCTGGATGTTTAAGCCATTTAGTAAGATCATAAACATGTTTGTCAATCACAGTCCATTGATCTTTTTTATTTGAATGACGACGAATTTCTTCCCACGTATATTGGCGTTTTCCATTTTCATTAATCATTTAAAATTTGACTCGATGTTGTCATCATTGATGATTCCTGTTGTTGATCATCGACTATTAATGGAGGATCCCAGTTTTTACTAACTTTATCCATTATGTTCGATGATCTATAAATAATAATAAATGACATTTTTGTTGTTCATAATAACAATGATAGTTAAGAAGATTTCATCGACAATTTCTTGTATTAGAAGTAACACATTCAACTACTTTTCTCTTTTTCCTTTTCTTCCTTACGTGCCGCAACAAGAAAAATATATAGTTGATCAATTGAAACTAGAGTCCTGCGGGACAGTCCCGAATCCCGAAAAATCCCGTTTGTTTCGTCCCGCGGGACAAACGGGACTGTCCCGAAAATTTTTCGAGACGGGACAAACGGGATCGGGACAATTCGAAAAATAATGTTGTCCCAAAATTTTTGAGCTTGTGTATCGAAATCCGTTGTAAACTTTAATTTTCATATTGTTCACTAAACATTTTAGTATTTAAATAAAAAGTGTCAAAGAAAAACACAAAAAAACAAGCCACGAG